GACAGCCAGAAAAATCGGCGCGGCCCGGCGCTCTAACGCGAGACTAACGGTTAACTGCTCGGCGTTCGAGCGCGCGCGCGCGCCGTTTCTAGGCAAGTGGGTTAGTTTACGGTGATCCGCGGGGGCCGATCGTGCAAACGCGAATTTATCGGCGAGGATGACACGCGTCCAGGTCACGCGAGTCGGAGAGAGGCACTCGACCTGAAACTGTCGGCCGATAAACAACCGAGACAAAGCCCGAGAAGCGTGATCTTCATCTCTCTCGCTCTCTATTCTAGGAGGGCGTCTTGGAAAAAATTTTTCAAATTTCTTTCCTCCCCGACACGAGAGAAAGATTGACGTCGACATGTGCTCGGCCGTGGGCTCGAAGAAAAGCAGACGCGCGTCTGCAGCAGTGGTTTCGTGTTACTCTGCTTTTCCTCCCAGGCTCCGCACTGGTTTCACGAGGAAAAGCCCAGAATAAAATACACCCGGCCGCCACGTTGTCTCGGCTTACGAGCCTAAAACTGCTCTCCCTCGCGCGCGCTGCAGGTGAGCGGCCTTGAGCACCACCAGCGCAGTAGCCGCTGGGCGCGAGTTGCGTTTTTCGCAAGAGTATCAACCTTCGGGTGCGTGGGCTCGCGTCGACGCGCGTCCCGCTCGGAGCTCGAAAAGGTCGCTGGTAGGCCAGCGCAGAGCAAAGGGGACAGGTGTGTCCGCACCGACGGTCGCGGGCAAGAAGGGCTTCGTTCGTCCTTTGAGCGCCTCCTTCCTGTCGGCCGGCCTCGCGCCCGGCTATCTCGCGTGCTGCTTCTCGGTGTTTTTCTCTCCCCTCGGCGCGCCCTGTGTCCTCCCTTTCAATCTGCTGCTCTGTATAGGTCGCTACCGGAGCCAAGTGGCGCACACACAAGGGAAACAATTGCGGTCTCGCATCGAAAGAACTTGGCTATGAATAAATTGATGTAAGTCGGAGCGCGAGTGCGTGGCGAGGCATTCGCATGCTAATTGGCACGCTGGTCTCGGAAATCAGGTCTGGGGCAAAGGCTGAGTGCACCTGGCTGCGGCGTCGCGCGCGCCCGCGAGCTATATATACGTACGTTGCATCGCTGGCGGTGTGCTGGCGGTGCGCTGGCGGATGGAGTTCTCTGATCTCGAGCAGCGAGCTCTTGACACTTGGCCGCGCGCTCCCTGCTCGCTATACATAGTCGCGTCGCGCCACACGCGTGTCGTATCTGCTGCTCTTTCTCTCCGGCGCTGCGCGTCCCACGCCTCGCGAGCGCGAGCTTTTAATAGCCGCGACGCCGATGCGTTGACCGACCGTTTGCTCCGCGATCGCGTAAGCGCGGAAGTAACGGGGATCGATCGGGCCCGGGCGATCGGTTTCGGCAAAGGCGCGCGCGCGCGCGCGCGCGTCTGCCGTTGCGGACTAGGCCGTAATTGGCAAGAAACGTCGGGGCGCACAGGCGGAACGCTCAAAGCGCCGCCCGAGACACTTTGATATGCGCTGCCAGAATGTGTCCTCTGCGCGTCGCTCGCCGCTAAGTGAGCCTTTTTCGTCTCGCCACTTGCTCGCTTCGCTGCGCCTCTCTGACTCTCTTCGCTTCTTTTCTCGCGCCAAGCTCTAAACGTGTTTCCGCGAAGGGACACGTCGTTATTCATTTCGAAAAAGCTTCTATCGGATAGCCATTATTTACGAGTTTGCGCGCTCGCGCCAGCCGATTGAACTTTCGTTACAAACTTTCGTGCCTCTCTCCCTCCACCGCGAGCTGCTTGATGGATGCGCCGTCATATTTTTTGATTGAATTTATTTTTCATTTGCAAAACGAGGTCGTCCTCCTCTTCAAATTCTTTTCACCGTCATTTATTTGCAGTGTGACTTTTAATCCGCCGCAAAGTTATGAATAACTCGACAGTGCTTTTAAAAAGAACGTGTATTAATGATTAATGCAATTCTCCGCAGAAGTGCTCATTATTTTTCTCGGCACCTTGGAAAAAGTAGTTAGCAGTTGATCCCAAAAAGTTGTTCCCTTCAATCGAATTGGTACAATCCGAATTGCACTCGGCCGCGATATATAAAATAAAGCAATCTATCGCAATCAAGGAAATAAACGCATCGACAAAGCAAATATTACTCGGCCGTGTTTTTAATGCATGCTCGGCAGCAGTAATGAACAAAGAGTGACGCTGTCCCCAATTGACAGTTATATATACACAAAAGTCGCGAGCGCTCGAGCAACCAAAGAGGGTATTATGTGGAGGGAAAAGAAAAGCGAATACACGCTTCGAGTCGTCGGACTCGATCCCTTTTGATACTTGGCCTTTCGTTTTGGCCGTGGCGCGGTATCTTCAGGCCTGTCCCTCTCGTGCACGTGCTCATGCTTATTCTTTTTAGCTTAAACGTACGCGCGCGCATCTTCCCCTCGTCGGCTTGCGAAGAAAGCAGCGTATCTCCTATTTCTAGACCCGTTCGCTCGCTCGATCTTTTGTCTCTGCAGCGACGATAGCTCGACAAAGGATGCGCGCTGTTAGTGTCTATGTCACTCGATGAGCATTCAATTGGTATTTGGTCGTGCCAATTAGTTACACGGCCAATCGATTCTTTGCCCACTGTCTCTCTCTCTCTCTCTCCCTCTGTCTTTTTTCTCGCCTTGCGCCCCAGTGAGAATCCATAAAACAGATGGAATCGATCATTCGCGCCGGCTTATTCGAGAAGACTATCGCACGCGCGCGCGAGAGGGAGGGAGATGACGAGAGGACGAGTTGAGCAGCCGGCGGCGTAATAATTTAACTCTTCTGTTTTTTTGCTTGGTCGCTCGTTGTTGCAGCGCTGGAGCCGCTGCGAAACTTTCTTATCGCGCATCGTCGGCTCCTCGGCGCAGGCCGCCCCGTGTATTTATCTTGCACCCCCCACCCACACATCGATTTTTGGCCCATATCAAGCCTCTCTATCTCAGTCTTTCTCGGCTGGCATTGCGGAGCCGCTCGCTGCACGAAAGGCCCTTTTTCGATAATGACCGGACCGGATTATTTTATTTGTTTATCTTTTCTTTTTCATTTCAAGGGACGTGGGAGAACGGCCCTTTTTTCCTTAAGCCCCCGCGGCTCTTGATTCGCTTGCATACTATTGCCCAGTGCCTCCTTGCTCGAGATTTTGAGAAAATTAGGTCGGCGATGTAATCGGCTCGACGTTGAATTATTTTAATTATCGACTGACGTTCGTTGCCTACCAAGTGTACATATAAACGTCTTGGTTATCAGTTTTAAATGGCGATTTTTGAGGGCAGGTGTGCGCAGTTTCATCCGGTTCGTTGGATCCTAATGACCTAAACGCGCGGCCCTTGAAAGAAATTCGAACGAAGAAGAAGACAAAAAAGGAAGAGAGAGTGAGGGGCAGCCCCGATGGCCTTTGTTCCCAGATCATCGGATTCGGCCCCGAGGCATCCAAGTTGAAACCTCTCTCTAGCAAGATCTGTACGATTTCCCTGACGAGTCTTTTCAACAAAGTCTGCGCTTATATGTATGCGTGCGTCAATTATTAAGATATTTCGGCCAGGCTGAATTCTATCCTCGCGCTCTCGGTGAATCATTGTGTGCTCTGTCTCGCTCGAGATATATAATAGCGATCATATGATGCTAGAGAAGAAGAAGGAGAAGGCCCTCGGCTGTCTATTGATCGTGCGCGTACGGCCTTTAAACGAAAAAAAAAAGAAAAGAAAAAAGGAAGCAGAGGAGCGCGCCGTGGGGGCGTCTTGACGAGTGCGCGGATATTATCGGCGCGCAGGTTAATTCGCGCAGGGGACCGGCCCCGATGGGCCTTCCAATTTCTCCGCTCTTGCACGCCCACTCCGCCGGCCGAAGATTGCCCGAGCTGTGCGTCGCTCGTTGACTTCTTTTTCGCCCCGTGCCTTTATTCTCTTGCGCATGAAAGCGAGAGAGCTTGGCGATCTGCGCGTAAGGGTCAAGTCCCGAAAATCGGTATGACCAATGTCGCGCAACATATACCCGAGGGTCACTTGCTTGCACCGAGATAGGGAGAGTGAGATGAAATAGGTCCGAGTTATTTTTCGTATTGTGCAGGCGGCGGCACCTCCTCCCGCTCGCGGCGGCTTAATACGCAGTATATACAGCGAGAGAGAGAGAGAGAGAGAGAGAGAGAGAGGAACCGGTTATGGGTTATAGCAGCTCTCTCTCTCTCTCGCGCGCACACTCCTTTCTTCCTTTCTCACCCTGAACCTTATTCATTCCTCCTTACCTCTCTCGCTCTTTTTTTCTTATTTACTCTTCCTGACTTCTTTCTCCGTTTCTTTTATTTGGTCCTTTTTCGAATATATACTCCTGGCCGCCGCGTGGACCCCTACGCCCCGCAGCTTATTCCTCTATCTCTCTCTCTCTTTTTCTCCGACTTGTCTCTCTCTCTCTCTCTCTCTCTCTCTCTCTCATATTTTTACTAGTATTTCCTTCGGCCCGTAAATATTGGCTGTGCATTATGGGAATACTCGAAAGTCCGCTCGACTTTTTTATCCTCTTTTTGTTTCTCTCTCTTTTTCTCTCTCCGACCGAGTGCGCCAAGGCTGCGTTCTCTGTCTGCTGCAGCGTTATAATTTACTCGCAACAGAGCTACACTACAATGGGCAGGCAGCAGAGAGAGAGAGAGAGAGAGAGAGAGAGAGAGAGAGAGAGAGAGAGAGAGAGAGAGAGAGAGAGAGAGAGAGAGAGAGAGAGAGAGAGAGAGAGCGTCTTATGATAATCACACATTGGAAAATAAGCGCGGCAAGGATTTTTCGGTGAAGACCGAAAGAGCTGCTTGCATCCTTGACCCGTGCGCCCTCGCATCGCCAATCGCATTATCCACTCGGAGCATCTCGACGACTTGCTCCTCGCTTGGGAATATCATGGTAGCTTCTTATACGTGTGTGCGCGAAAATTTCAGCTGTCAGTGATAAGCCATGCGTTTCGTAATAAGGTGCCCTTGTCGGACAAGTAGCTCGACATTAACGCTATGCTTTGCATTTGTGTTTCAGATTTCGAATAGACAATACGGACCACATAATAGACGTGAACAAGAACAACGCGGCGTTCGAGTACGATCAAGTGAATATAATTTGTCCGGTGTACCAGCCGGGCACGTACGATGACGAAGCGGAGAAGTACATTATTTACAACGTAAGTATATACACTATATGCAGCCGTATGGCCACCTCGGAGTCCCTTCGTATATATAGCGAATAGCCCTAGTAAGTCGCTTTCCTTTGATCTTGCGTGTACACCTATCAAGCCTCATTTCGTTTCCCCTCGGAAGCTCGGAGACTAAACATTTTTGCTCTCGCTGACAATTCCATTCTAATTTACGCATCCCGCGCGCGAGATACAGCGCCGACATTGACGCAAACAAACGCGAGATCTCCAGTCGGTATAGAATAGAATGGAAATAACGCGCGAGACGAGACCGAGTTCTGCAGCTCTCGCGCTATGCGTTGTTCTCAAATCAGCGCGGACCGCGATCCATTTTCTCGCTGCCGCGCGACGACGCCGTAAAACTCTCTTCTTGCCCGCTCTCTGGAGAAACGACGAGACCGTGCGCATTTACGAGGCTGCGACAGCGTGACGCAAAAGTAAAGCCCGCGCGCTGCTGCGTATCGATGGGCGAGAGAGAGAGAGAGCGCGAGTCGTCGTCGTTTTCGTCGTCGGCGGGGCCAAATTAATGGAACGTATCCGCGCTCGTTTTTTAATTCCTCGGCGCGCAACGGCCGACGACGCGCACTACGAAAAAAGAACGCGCACTGTTTAGACAGCTGCTCCCGCGCTCGCCTATAAATTAGCCGCAAACCACAATAAAAAAACCAAAGTTAAAGCACACGCTATATATGCCGTCCCGAAAACACGTGTCGCGCAAGCCTCCTGAGAGAGAGCTTTAGTAATCGCCCTCCCCCCGTTCCCCCATTTACATGTCTGGTTGTTGTGTCCGCGGAATCTTGAGATAGTATGCATACTTATACTGCCGACGACGAGTTTTTTACGCTGCGATGGAACGACGCCGCTCCTCAAAAACATTCCAAATATTTGAACTACCAATCGCGTGTGCGCCTTTTGTCGTCACGACAATTGTCACCATATAAAGTGTGTTTGACCTAAAAGTTTTGTCGTTGAACGCAGGTATCGAAGGAGGAGTACGAGACGTGTCGGATAACGAATCCGAGTCCGCGGGTCATAGCGATCTGCGACAAGCCCTTTAAAACGATGTACTTCACGATAACGTTCAGGCCGTTCACGCCGCAGCCCGGTGGCTTGGAGTTCCATCCCGGCCGTGACTACTACTTCATCAGCACTTCGTCAAAGGACGACTTGCACAGGCGCATCGGCGGACGGTGCACCACCCACAACATGAAGGTCGTATTCAAGGTCTGCTGCAACAACGAGGCCACCGACTCGTCATCCTACCCAGCCACCTCTCGCAACAACTGTGAGTGCTTTAATTACTTCCAATCTCTTGGTCGTTTGCTTGACGCGTCCCGCTTTTGCCGCGCGGTAATTCGCAATAAACGAGAAGCCAGTTTCATCGATCAAATAACCAAGTAGCGCGCGGGCGCGAGACCCTTTTGAAAAAAACCCGCACACACATACACACACCTGCGTCTCCTCCTTCTTTTCCTCCCATCAACCAAATCCGTTCGCTCCTCTCTCTCTCTCTCTCTCTCTCTCTTCTTTTTTCTTTTATTTTCATCCTCGCCCTCGGCGTGACTCGGCGCGAAATCCACTCGCCTCGATTCGAGACGCCGCCTTCTTCTATTATCCCTAACGAGAAAGCGAAAGCCTCGTTCCGCGGTTTCGTTTGACGAAATCATCTAATGCCGTTCCTACACACGCTCTCTCATTTTTATACGCACAGCTGAGGATTTTTATGAAGCACCTTGCTAGTCCTCACACTTACATGCCTCTCGGTTTTTTTTCACCCGCCCTTTCGTTCTTTCGACACACGCCTTCCTCGCCGTATATTGATATATACGCGCTCCTCTCGGCCGCACCATTTTAATGTCTTTTTGTATTGACGCTTTTCTTTATTATCTCGCGCATCAGCTATGTCCGACGATAATTATTTTCCTCCGACAAAGGGACTTGAAACGATTTCGGGCTTCGCCTCCATAATGTGGATTGCGATTTTATACGCACTAACAAATATTTTTAATCATATAGCAAACATGCGATGTGGGCTGTTGCGATGAATAACGAAGCAAATGTTCAGTATAAGATTTTGAGTACTGAGAATTCTCTCTTCAATGTAATCAGTGAAAATAGTCTTAAGAAACAGAAAAAAAAAGATAATGGCAAGGCGCAGAAAAGAAAAATAAGCAATGGTTTGTGTTTCTCAGCGATCACCGTGACGAGTAGCACAGTGAGCAGCAGCAGCAGTAGCAGCAGCAGCTCGACGAGCACGTCGATCGTCAACGGAATGGGCAACGGCATCAACGTCGGCCGAGAGCCGATGGTGCCAGCGATCCCGCCGTCGGTTTACAAGGGCAGCGATCGCTACTACCCGAGCAACGTGCACGGACACTCGGGTCAGCCGCAGCAGCCGCCAACCGATCACGTACCGACCATTCACGTGCCTCAGCCGCCGCCGATGTTCCCCAACTATCCGCACCAGCAGCCGCAGCCGCCGGTCTACCAGCCGCCTGCGTCGCAGCCACCCAAGACCTCCATCACCCAGAAGAAGAAGAACAGTACGTATATCTTGATACAAAACTGGGCTCCGTTTGGCGATCAAGTTATTACGATGATTGCGCGCTCGACCGTTGTGAATTGATAAATGCGCGTTCGGTACGCTCGTGTGGTGTGAGAATCGTCTTCGGGATTTCTCACAGGGGGATGCGGTGCGTATAAGCGCTGCTTCGAACAGCAATCACCGAGGGAAGGGAAGGTAGGGAATAGCATAGCCGAGCGGCCAGTAATTAATCTACCTAAGAATTAATTGAAAAAGATCGGATTGAATGAAAGCCGCGAGTCATTCAGTTCTGCGTGCAGTTAATTTTCTGCGAGCAACACTTTTTGCGGCAGATTGGTCGCGCGTCTCTCTCTTTCTCTCTCTCTCTCTCTCTCTCTCTCTCTTTGTCGGAAGAGGCAAGAAGAGGAGTTGACGAAGCCGGACTGTTGTTCTTTCCAAAAGCAGCGCTGTAAACAGCAGCAGACGCGCTCTCGCAGTCACTTATCTGCGTAGCGCGATCGCAGCACACTCGCTTTATGCCCTCGGGTGCAAGTCATGCGCGGCAGAGTGCTTTTCTCTCTCCTACTGCGCCGGCCGAAAAAGCGCGTGCGCTCGTTATCTCTTTGTTTCTTGTTCCTACTTTTTCTCTCTCTCTCTCTCGTCTTTTCATCACTTTCCTTATCGCGCGCCGGCCGCTCTTTATCTCCGCGAATGGGAATTATGAGCTCGCCGCCGCCACTGCTGCCGTCGCCCTTCTCGGAACTCTCTAATTGCGGAATAAAACTGGCGAGTGCGTTGTACGCCGCGAAAGTTGCGTCCTCGCGCCGCCACGGTGAGAGCTACCATTGACACGGGAAGCAGACGATTGCAGAACAGAGAGCGAGAGAGAGAGAGAGAGAGATAGAGCAGAGCCACTTCGCTTGCGCTTCATCATCGCTCGTTACCGCGCGCACCTGTGTACGAATGCACGCGATCCTTCGTCGGTTTCGGCACTAGGCGTGACATTGGCTCGGGCGCAGCGCCGTGGTGTGGCGCCCGGCGAACGGGCTCGTCGTCGTGGCGCGGGAAAAGCTTCCTTTCACGGGCAACGCTCGGCCGACTGCCCGCCCCTTTCGGCTAGTAATCAAAGTTCTCGCTGCGCTGCGAATGCCCTTATCATCGTTTTTAATGACGCGCAGACGCACGCACGCGCACGGCTGCGCGGGCCACGCCGTGAGTCTACGTATTTTTTCTTGTCCTCCCTCGTTCTCCGTTATAGTTTTCCGTTGGGCGACGGGGCGACGGGGCGACGGGGCGACGGCCGCCATCTGTTCCCCAAAGTGGAATCAGAGTCTCGTGCGTGCGTCACGCTCGTCACCTAGTAATTTGACGTTCGCCGGCGAACGATCGGGCGCTGCTGATAATAGAAAGGAGAGCTCGCGAGCAGGCGATCGGGTTTCTCCGCTCAACGGAAAGCGAGTGTCCTGCGTCGCAGTCGCCTACGGCTCTCGGTCGCTTGCCGAAACCCTTCCCTATACATCGCATATACCCAGTGCAGCCAGCTTTCTATTGCTTCTGCCTCTGTCGCGTAAAAACGACGATGAAGAGTTGGCTCTCTCGGGCGGGGTGTCGTCGCGTTGCGCGTTCGGCAGTGTTCACGTCGATTCGGCGAAGTGTCCGCGCATATACATCAATAATTCATAAGCCCGCCGCCACTGACCGCGGAATACTAATGCATGCGTGATTTCGTTATTGCAGAGGAGTATTCGGACCACCCGAACGAAGTGGTAAAGAACGAGGAGCTGACGTACAACGGCGCCTCGGCCAGCACGCTGCAACGCTCGCAGCAGCAAATCGCGTGGACGTTGGCGCTGCTGTGCGGCGCACTGCTGCTCCGGTGAAGCGACTCCCGCATTAGTCCCCTGAGAGCAAACAATCGGCCGACGACGAGCAGCAACAGAGATTAACATGCGACATCAACAGCAGCAGTAACAACTACAACAACAACAGCCACAACAACAAGAATTAACAAAACGAAAAAGTAAAACCCCTTCTTCTGTGATTGTAATCCTACGTTCGCAATTCGTTTCCCGCTAGCCGGAAAGGAATTTATGTAGTCCGAGCGCACTTCCTCGCGTCGGAGCTTCTCCAAGAGAAAAGAGAGCGAACAAGCGCGAGATTGAGAGAGAGAGAGAGAGAGAGAGAGAGAGAGAGAGAGAGAGAGAGAGAGAGGGAGAGAAAGAGCGAGAGAAAGAGAGAGAGAGAGAGAGAGAGAGGGAGAGAAAGAGCGAGAGAGTGAGAGAGAGGTGCGCCATAGCGTTCTCATAAGCGAGCGAGACTGAGTGAGTGATCAACGCGGCACGCCATATTTACTGTTAACACGAGTATTCACGCCCACTGTTATCACTGTACTCCGCCGGCAGCGAATGGAGCAGCGATTGTTAGTCGTGTGTTGTATCCTGTGTATGCTACATATTGCTATATATTCGTACACATATAGTCGTCTCCTTTGTTTCCTTTTGAAACTTTTTATTATTTCTTCTATCCCGCGAGCGCAAAGCCACCGAAGAGCAAGCCTCATAGAGCTGTGCCTCTTTGTGCCTGCACCCGTTGTCGCGATGATCATGTGCATTTAAGCTCGCATTGTCACGATAGCTGAGAAATAACCAATTTGGACCACTAGTCGGCGTCTCTTCGTCGTCGCCGCGTATAATCGAATCGCTTGCAAGTTGTTCTCGCCAAAACGACACTCGCTCAGATTATACACCGACATACACACACACACCCGCACACATTTGCCACGTTATTTGGTTCCTCTAGGCTCGCAAGAAAAGCGATTCGATTGAGCGACACGCAGCGCACGCCTTGAAAATAATGAAAGAAGTAAAGCGATTGTTAGGGAAAAAAGAGCGTTGTTCCATACGAATCAATGCGCCATCGTATTCACGCGAGCTTTAGGCGAAAAATTAGCGCGCCTCTCTCTCCCCATGTTTGTGTAAATAAGCGAACAAGATTATTAAGACGAATAAAAATAATCATATTATTCCTAATGGAGCAGTGGCGGTCTGCTATACGGGGAGGCAGTTCGGGTTTTATCGACGAACTATGTATAACTATTTGCCTTTGTCAAGTCACACACAGGCATACACACACTGTCGCATCAGTGCTGCGAAATTATATACTCGAACGAATTTGAACTGACGAGTGTGTGTACCCGCAGGCCGCGCGCCGCCAGAATAAATTACGAAATCCAAGTGACTGTCAATTTCGCAATATGTCTTTTTCTTTTCGACTTTGTGTTGAAACTTTCTGTTTTATTTTTAAATTACTATTTAGCGCGAATATGCACGTATCGTTGTGCGAATTTGTATGCATGTTGGACAATGATGAACCATGTGACGCGAGAAAAAAAATGCGAAAGACAGAAATAGACGAGCGAACCGGGTGTATGAAATTATAGGCGTGCGAGTTCAAGCGAGAGTGAATGCGGGTGTGCTACCCAATACATTTGTACCATAGCTGTATTATACCGAGACACCTATCTATAGATTTGTATTATATTTATTATCTACAATAATTATGACACTACGGATATTTACTCGATATTCTATGATTATTATTAGTAAAATGTCAAATTTAATAGCGAATAAATTGCGAAATGGAGGGGGCGCGTCCAAAGCAATGAGCCTGCTCCGTTATTATTGTTTTTATACTACATGAAAAATCGACGAGGCATTTTTTAATAATCTCGCCAACGTATGTCACACGACGCAACTGTCGTTTTCATTCAGATTTCCTAGACCTCAACCTCAGCATACGAATCTTCTAATTTATTCTACAGTTCTTTTTTTTTGTACGTAAAACAAAGCAAAGAAAAACATTTTTTAACTTGTGAACCGTGCTCATATATACACCAACACACCCGAGCGATCTTTACTCAATACGCAATATAAGGCAATATATAATCTGTGTGCAACAATACTTTACCGTTTACAATATATACTGTTTACCATTTTTCTGTATCAGACTCGTATCACATCAACTGTAATAGTACAGCAGCTCTCATATTCACGTTTGTTTGAAACCATGTAATATCGATAAGACCGTTTGATCGTTCGAGGTGTCTTCAATTTTTAATGAACAACTGACTGTCTTGCGCCAATTAATATTAGCGCAAATCCTTTTACGATTTTTATCTAGGATGTATAAAAATTATTTTACATTTACTTTACTATTAGAAAATAATTTTTATATGTACATAAAAATTGTAAAATATGTAGCATTATTACGTATGAAATTATAAAATTCTTATTTAAAATTATTTTTTAGTTGTTTTATTTTTTCTTCACAGCCATTTATTTTATTTTGTTATCCCGCATGCCACTTGTGATTGACTCTCTTTATTTCAGGGCCTACAATTGAAAATTGCAAAGATTATCAATTTCTATTTTTCTTGTATGAAAAATATTCTTTACTAGTTCCAGATTGTAAAATGTAACTATGCTAAAGTATTCTATGATAGAAATTCTGACTGCCTCTGCGCTGTCAAATTAACAATACAGTTCAAACCGTCCAAGTATAATTTATCAATGAACTAACGTTGAAGAATATGCAAGTAAATCAGTTTTTTATATTAATTGCCGAAATTTTTCCAAACGAAGAAAGTTCAACTTTATTTAAGAATTTAAAAATTTTTCCAATTTTTTTAAATTGTTAATGTTATCAATATACTCTAAGTAGCTCAGATAGTATTGTATATATTCTATATAGTTTTAGTTCTTGTGTCTATGCCATTTCAAGCTTTTAGTTGGGTGTTTATAAGTATGTAAATCTTTAACGTATAGCCTGTTTTTATATCGAAACTTGAGATTTATTTTTGACTCGACATACTTTACTTAATATTCTTAAATTTCATGCAGTTAATGATATCGTACTGCAAAGTAAAATAATTTTTGTGAAACATAGTTGAATAATTTTTCCAATAAAAGAGTATAAATGTACATATTTGGATATAAGTTTAGTTTGTTATTTTGTTTTGTCAATGGAATTTTCCAATCTACCATTATAATAAAGCACTTTTTGTTATTGTTGTATGTTTCAAGCGTACATCTGTAACTGATTTATACAAATCCTGCTTCGTCGATTTTTCAAATCAACAATATCACATGTGCAATAAGCTTAGAGCAGATGTGGGCACGTTCATATAATTATTCGAATCCATATATTGTTACTATAATAATTATTCGTTTGTAGTACATTTCGATACTAGTGCGATAATGTAATTTGAGCCTCACGTGGACATTTGCGCCTGAGCTAAGCGAGGGTGAAGAGGCCGCACGAGGCTGAAATCACTTTCTCGTATTCAAACTTGATTTTTCGATACGACGTGTGCGAGATGAGATTCCAAGCAAATTTGTTTGCCCGAGTGTGTGTCAATCGAGTCCTCGCTGCACGAAGTATTGCAAAGATTATTAGAACTAAAGCATGCAATGGCCAATTTGGACATATGGCATTCTTAAAAGTTATTAATAATTCTCTGTAATTGTCAATCTTTTTTCTCTCCGTCGAATGAAGAGAAACAGAGGCAGCCAACACTTGATGGTTTTGTTAATGTTAAAAGGACGTTTGAAAAAATCTAAACTCGTGAGAGAGAGGCTCTGAAGGGCAAGTAAAGAAAGTGATATAATTGTATTGCAAATCCAATCAGCCGACACAGCCCACATCTACGCTAGCTGCAGTTACAAATCAGGTTCGCCAAAGACCTTTGCGTCTACTAACAAATAAATAAAAAAGTGTCTATGCAGGAAAACCAATGTTAATGGAAGAGAAAACCACCTGTTTACAAACAAAACTGACGAATATTGTTATTTGTCAACCAACGATGTATGCTATATATATAAAATATAAATATTTATATAAATATATAAATATCGAGATAATGATAAGGAGGACAAATGAATTGTCGAAAAAGTTGTAAATAGAAATAAAACAAGTGCATAAGGAAAGGATCAAGTAAAAACACAGAAAAAAAGCTAAATTAATGCGATAAAGATATATGATAAAGAGAGGATGAAGGAGTGCGAATAAATTTATATTAAATACATAGTAGGTTAAAAAAAATAGGTTTCTAATAACAATTTATTATTATAAAAGTGAATGTATGTTGATGTCTAAGATTTTTAAAGCCACGGGGTCGGGAAGTAAAAGATGAGCCGTGATTGTCTGATAATGTGAAGCGCGTCGCTATCTGACTATACGAGGGGTTGGCCAAGTCGAGGCAAATGATTATCAATTAATTAATTACAATTATTACCCGTAAATCAGCGCAGGTACACTATAAATAAATGAAAAGATATAAAGAAAAAAAAATGGATAAAACATAATAAAAGTCGAGCGTGGAAAGGCTCCCCCACGCAGTCACAGTTTATAGCCAGTCTGTGAATTCGTTCACGTACGATGATCACACACAGCACATGTCTGTCTCCTTATATGCAGAAATAAGGCCGATTATAATTGTTTTCGTAAGCCCTCGGTTTTTCCATTGAATGCGAGTCGCTCGGCGTGTAGTCGCGGACGTGTGTTTTGATTTTCCATATTTGCGAAGGGAAAAGAGCCAGCAGAAACAGCAACGTAGCAAGCCGTTGGCGATTGGCGAGAGCCTGGCCGCCCGAACCGCCTGCACCTACGCGCGATGGAAAGGAAAACGAAAAGCGGCCGCGATCTCATTGTTAAACGCTCGATCATGCGCGCGCTTTGCCCCCGGATTACGCTAAATCGGCCGGCGTGAGGCTCGTTTCGTGTTTTCTGTCGCCTTCTCTTTCCCTCTCACTCGAGACCTCCGGACAATGCACTTTTGTTTCGAGCCCTATCAGTGGATATTGAGCAGAAAAGGCGCCGTCTGTCGCGCTTCGCTTTTTCTTTCGGGTCTCGCTTGTATACAAGTACATGTACATTTCGAGGAAGGTCGAGAAAAAGCTGCAATCAAGTGTGTAGAAGTTGAATATCCGAGCAACTTTGCGATTCGTCAGAGTCACTCGCAACAGTACAAAGAAATGTCGAAAAAGGTGTCTAAAAGTCGTGTGCGGCGGATCGTGCGCTCGAGCCCCAGTAACAGAAGCAACAAAGTGAGCGAGAGCCCAGCAGCTGCTTTTTAAAATAGGTTGCGTGTGCCTACGTTAAGCACATACAGATAAAGTACGCCGTTCATACAATGCATTACATTAAAATACAGAGTAGCGTAGAATTCATAACAGTAGTCCATCGTAGCGAAATAGTGTTTAAACAGATGCAACAGGTTAACAAAACAATTTAAAAAAATGACATAATCTACAAAAAAATGGAATCATTGCAGGTAAACATATATTCACATTGCAGTTGCGCGAATGCGCGTACCACCCCCTCCCCATCGAACGAATTTTCTCAGTACATACCACGTCCATCAACGAATATATCATATGCAGAATTATTTGCTTTCTTATGAGTACAGTGCAAGGCAAGCGATAGGTAGTGACGGTTCGAACCAAAATATTTTAAGAAAAACTACGTTGGGCGGCGTCGTGACTTTTGTTTATCGAGTATCCGGTTGTTTTTCTATTGTCCAATTTCAACAAATCAATTCTTCGGATGGTGAAAGCTTTCTCTTTATGAAAAATATACGATTTCGTCATACAGTTGGTTTCATAGCGATAGACAAAAGAAAAAAATTGTTTTTTGTAAAATGCTTGTAATCTGCTATTAATACATTTATAAAGTGGAAACTTGTTTATATTTTTCTTAAAAGAAACGATAAAACAGTTTGACGACGATAAAGAAAATTTATGTACTCGTATACATACAAGACGACTGTAAAAATTTGATAATTTTCTAAAACACGTAGAAGTTAGTGTGAAGAGAATGTAAAAACGACGAGAGTGAAAGAAAATAAAAAACTCAAATACTATGATTGTTTCTATTTTTTTATTTGTAACTTAAAATTAAAACACGTTTTCCTATATTTTAGATAGGTGAGCACAACATGCATTTACAAGGATGCTGCACAAATTATACAGCACACGTGAATCTCATTTATTGCCATTTTTTTCATTTAAGAGATTATAATTTAATTTGAATTATAAGTAGTAATTAAAATACCTTGATAAACAGTCATTCTTTCATTGCTGTAGATTATTAATTTTCATTAGAACACTTGCATGCTATTGCAGACCCTGAGAGGATGTGATAGTTTTTGATATCGATTGATCTCGATGACAAACAATCTACATATTTTAAAGAAGATATCATTTTTAATTAATCAATCATAATTAAATTATTTAAAGATTCTCTGGTTTCAATAACAGAATTCAATGTTGTCTGTTATGTGGTGTATTTTGAGAAAACATCAGGATTTTATTGTTTGGTGTTCGTTTTGATAATTTTTAAGGTAAGGACAATTAGACTATCTTACGTAACACGTATTTTACTAGTGAAAATTCATGCGCGAGATTTAGAAACAAGTTCGAATGACATTATTTAATAAAAATATAAAATTTTGATATAACAAATTATATAGCAAAGTCAAGTTCACGAAACAACATCAATTTGACTAAGATTCTGTCGTGCACATTTTCATTATTCTAAATCATGGTCATCTTTTCGTATGGAATGTTATATGAACATTTTTGTTAAATATTAGAGTATTTAATTACACATGTACGTGTGTCAAAAACTTGAATTATTAAAAAAATCCCATCGCCAAATAAAAATAAGATTTATGAAACAAAGCACATAATCTTCTTTTATGTTTCGTTATATTATATTAGATATGACCAAATTAAACGCATTCAAACTCCTAACTGCCCGGCACCCACCTCGTAACCACCATCGTTTTACGCAAGTTTCCTGCCGATTTCTTTGGTCTGAAGGACGACTCGGGCGTCATCTCAAATATGTTTATTTTGCAGATTTCATCGCATCACGCGCTTAATATATATTTACATAAGCAACATATCTATTATCTATCTAACAAGGATATAGTTTTTTTCATGAAGTATATAAAACTATAGCCTTTATTATATTGATAAAATAGGGTCATTAAAGAGTTTAACTTTACTGAGAAAATAAAGAATATTTGATAATAAATTATTGACAGCCATCTACAGTAATTTATCTTCGCTTGAGTACTCTCAAAATCTTTTTCCAATCGTAACGGTAAAAGGATATCCTATCCTTCCAAGTGCTCATCTATTTAATTGCTTACTGCTGTAAAAACTGTAAAAAAGTTAACAAAAAGTAACAGCTGTAAAAAAGTCTTCAATATTCAATTTTATTTGTTAGCAATTATCACTTTAGAAAATAAATCTTATTTCATCCGATTTTAGGTATTCAGTTGAATTACGGAAAATTGTTATTTGTAATGCAGTTTTATTACTGCATCATAAAAAAATGTGCTATGAATATCATTTAAAATTTATTTAAATAATTATTTTATTCTGTATTACCAATAAAAATTCTGTGCTTGTTCCTTTTCTTTTCTTTAACTTAAGTTATATAAATTCCAATTTTGGGATATGACATTGAATAGAAAGATAAGAAATATATTGAATTAACTTATTATTTATTTACTTAATACAAATTTCGATTTTGGTAAACATTAACATAATATTATCTTGCAATTCTGTATCACTCGCCTTTTGGTTTTTGGTATTTATGATGCTCTTTGATTTATTCATGTCAAATGTTGCTATTTTACAATGAACATTGGATGTAACGAAGATTCAAGTTTTCTTTCAAAGCGCTTAATACTTGTTACATCCGCATTCCGACTTGCCGACTGCGTGGATTTGACAAGTCGCTGGCACAATAATTTTCGAATGTTTCGGGGCAGGTTACTTTTTTGATGATGCAAATGGAGTGATGAACATAAATGGTCGTTGTACGGTCTTAGAGCAAGTTGGTGGTGGGGATGGAGGTGTGTAAACTGATGATGCTGGTGCTGAATAGGTATATACTGGTGATGGCGCCGGCGATGGTGATGGAGTGTAAACTGGAGGTGTGGGCGGTGCGATGTATACCGACAGTGGAGATGGTATAGCGTAAGCTGGCGGTGGTGATGGAGCGTAAGCTGGCGGTGGTTGTGGAATGTATGCTGGTGGTGGTGGTGGAATGTATGCTGGTGGTGGTGATGGAGCATTGGCCGGAGGTGATGGAGGAGAAGGAGATGGTGATGGAGGTTGGATTACGCATGTTGGTGGTGGCGGCTGTGGAGTATAAACTGGTGCTGGTGTAGGGGGTGTGTACACTGATGGAGAAGGAGGTGGAGGATCACAGGCATCTGGAGCCTGACCTTGTCCGTTGACAGCCGAAGCTGGGGTAAGTACGTAGGTAATCGAAGCCGGAGCCTGACCTTGTCCGTAAGTAACCGAAGTCGGAGTCGGAGCTGATTCGTTGGCAACCGAAGCCTGAGCTTGTCCGCAAGTAACCGGAGCTGAGACAGGTCTATGAACAGCTGGAGCCTGGACTAGTTTATAGATAATCGGAGCTGATGCTGGTACAGACGGACTCGGTCCGTAGCCAGCTGAAACTGCTGTAGCCGGAGCTGGTCCGCAGCCGGATCCCGAAGAACCAGAACCAGCAGAGCCAGATCCAGACGAGGTCAGTGAAGGCATGTATACGTACTGTCAATAAAGTTTACTCCTGATGATATTCTACCATTTGGATAATCAATTATATTGAGAAGGCTTTTACCATAGTGTTCGTTTCAGGTTCCTCATTTTCCCAGTTGTCGCGCAAACAGGAAGATAACGATGATTTTGAAATCAGTTTTACGTAAACGGGCATAAAACTATTATTATTATTATTACAATCACTAGCGACCAATGCATTACATTCGTAGATACAGAATACAAAGGCCAATACCGAGGCCAGGTACACGATTCGAGGCGCGAACGACATGTTCGGATTGGTGTCGCTGCTCGTTGTGCTTTCTTCCTGAACTCGACTTTTTTTATATGCTGCTTTTTTTCTTCCTTATTCATGATGACGATTTTCAATTTAATTACAACAGTCAGATTTGTGGTTTATTCACGTTTCATGTTTCGATATTAATTACTTCGTTTTTCCTGTTTTGAAAATTTTTCATCTGTTTCTCACGTACTATGCGTAGTTGTTTGCGTGATATTTTGTCTGATATACATGCTTGGAATATGTTGCTTCTTTTAACTTCAATCGAATATTATATATTGCTTATGCATATGATATACTATTTTAATGATAAAAAGAATTGTGATAATTTAAAATATGATGACGTGAAAAAAATTATGCAATTAACCTTTAACTTGCACACCTCATTTTGGTCACGTAACTGCTCTGTGGGGTAAATCTACCCCAGCCCGAAAAACATCAAATAAATCAGAGAATTTTAGATATTTTGCTATGAAAATTTTTTCTAGTATATTTCAAACCTTTTACTACAAAAAAAATATTCAGGTTAACAGCTTTTAATGTTATACACACTGAAAAAAATTGTTGAAAAAAAAAAAAAAAATTTTATTTAATGTTAAAAATTGTCTGGGGTAAATCTACCCCACATAGCAGTTAAGGGTTAAGCATAAAACAATAATTAAAGATTATGCATGTATAAAATCGACTTGCCTGTAGTATTGTTTCAATCATATATTTTGAATGCAGTTGAAAAATGATTTTGAATTGAAATACAGAGTAAAAGAGATAATGTTACAGTTTGTTACTACTTTGACTTATTGAAATAGTATATTTAGAAAAATGTTCACAGAGAAATTTAATAGTATACTTGTAATTTAATTGTAATTTTTTAAAAAGATAATGATTCCAGTACATTTACTTTAATACAGTGTCTGGAGAGAGAGAGAGAGAGAGAGAGAGAGAGAGAGAGAGAGACCATTTACTTGAAAATAATTACATGCATATCATTAAATACATACACTGGAATTCAAAAATTTTGGCAACTATTTTAATGAATTAATTTATATACATACTTATTACTGGAGTATTTCAAAGTAGAATAAAACACCTAAATTTTTACGTGTACGCAGTAAAAAATAGAACACAATTGAAAAAAATTAGTAAACCACGTCTTTCATAAGAAAATTTTTTAACATTGCGGGTTCCATTGTCTAGAAATTAAATCTGTTACGTTAAATATGTAAATACTAATGAAGTAAGTATTGCATGTTTGAATCACTGATTTGCCGGTAACTTAATAGAATCTTCTGGTGCGTAAAAGTATGTAAACATTTACGACTATTCATATACTCAATGCTATTAACGTTATTGGTTATTGCCATCGTATTAAAGGAAATTTATGATTTTTTTTGCAATAAAAAAACAAATAATATATAATTGTTAAAGAGTGCTTAAATTGTCTAAAAGCTCTTAAATTTAATTTAATTGTCTTGTGTGTTCTTAAAATGTGCTGATAAATCTGCAGGACAATGTCTTCATCAGAAAACTAACTTATTGATTAACAACATTTAACAGGGTTTGATATGTTTAACTTTCTTCTATCAAGAATATTTGATATACTTTTTTATTTAGTATTATTATGATAGTGTTGTATTGTTATGCGATTATAAGTTATTTAATAATGCACTAGTGACATGCGTATAATAACATTTTGCTAAATTGTAAATGGTGTACAAAAAGAAGACTTATTATTGTTCTTTTTCATGAATGTATTTTAATGATCTAATAAAAGTTTTTCCTTAGTGTGGTTTGTTGTTAATTTAATAATATTTTTATTTAGCACATATTGCAATTTTTCCCCATATTTCTTGCATAGAATTTTTTCTCTTTTTCGTTTATTATTCTATCCTAATACTTTTCATAATTCAATCATCATTATCTGTCTTATTTTTTAGGCTCTTTATTTACAATGACATCGTAAGGTTTGTAACCTAGGAACGATCTTACAGCGAGTTACGTAAGTCGTTTATTTGAGGGATGAAACAATATTTGAGAACATGATTAACTTGTAATCAATGTCTTTACAAAACAAATTACTACTACTTAATTTTTGCTCTAGGTCTATCTTAAATCTTGACGTCTGCATTTTCAACTATATATACTACGAAATTTTGCAAAATAAGATTTTATATTTAATTTAGTCTATTGTCATAATTATTATATGAGTCGCTATATTACTGTAAGAAAACAATATGTGCATAGTTTATAAGAAAAATCTATAAAAGTTAAAAAAACTTTTTTGATCCAATAACAATCTTAATCAATTTATAAACATTAAAATTTCTCTTATAGTTTGGTTGGAAAAGTTGTTTATTATTTCAAGTTGTAAGTTCTCATTTATTATACGATTTATTTTTTGGGTATACATGTCCATAAGCGGAGTCTCAATGTTGTTAAAGTTAACAACTTTTAATATTTTAATACGTACATTCATACTCAGCATTGGCCTCGTCGCGGAAAAATATGCGATGCGAAAAGCCATTGTGCAAGCATGTTTCTTTGTTTGCATATACGTGATTTTCATGAATTACGTTGAGCAATATTTTAATTTTTATTGTTTTGCGATGAGTTCCAAGAAGTTTGTTGATTTTTGGTTTAATTTACTCGAGTATGTTTGGTAGATAGTGTTAAAGCCAAGAATTTATCTGTCTTTAATTAAAATCAGACAAAAAATTATTGTCAAATAGAGATAATGACAATTTTATAAATATAAAATATAAAATGTCCGCAAGTAATGTCAACTATACATATAACTATTCTAATAGTTTGCCATTCTATTTAATACGTTTACATATAAATTAAATTTGCTATGATAATAATTGTTTAACAGTTATATATTGATCTAATATACTTTATAATTAATAGTTTTATGGATATATTACAAATTTATAGCAAATAGCTAATTAAACCAAGGAAATTCTACTGTAAGAAATGTACAAGTATTGGCAGTTGCCATTGCTTTAATATTCCCAATAAAATATTCTTAAAGATTCTTCTATATTTTTATGTAAAAGTACATTAAAAATGTTATAAAATTTATCGAATATTGAATGCCATTGTATCAAAATACCGATCGATTATCTGCAATAAACTGCGTTAACTGATGTGCTGAAATCTTATATTTCACCGAATGAAATGTTCCATCTTAGAGAGTATTTAGTTTGATTGTATTGTCTTCTTTACTAAAACCTCGAGCAATGTTTCTCTTGGCGTCTAAGGAAAACTGTTGTATCCTTACCGATCTGCTTAGCGAAGCGTCCAAAAAGACAGTTCATGATAACAAATCACTTGTACGTGTTCTTTATTTGCTATTAGTATCAGTTTGATTTAAAAAATAAGCTTTTTATAACTGGATTATTTAAAAACATAAAAGTAAAAATAATGTTCCAAAGATATGGCTTTGGTAACTGAAATCCATATCAGTGAAATACATTAATTTTCAATATTAAATAAATTGACAATTTCCAGAAATTTAAGAAATGTTCAATACAACCAATTTTTCGTAGTTAATAACTAATAAAGTACAGAATTTTGTTAAAATTGGTTAATATATAGAGGCTTCATACATATTTATTTTATATTTTTCTGTATCTATACTCATGTATATTTTGGTTATCACTATGTTTATGTATTTACGTATTAGGCATCATAAAAAGTTCAAATACAGAATGTTGTCTTGCTTTCTGTATATATGTGTATGTATATGCACGTGAGTTTTCAATAGCTACAGTCGTTTTATTCATAGAATTGATTGAAAAGAAATTTGTTTAAAATACCATTGTTGAAAAAGTTTTTTGCGGTTTTTTTTGCAAAGTTGCATCTTTTTTCACTGTATCTTTTTTACTATAGCCATTCTATTCACAAACTTTTTTTCTGAACCGTTGCCAATTGGTGTGAGTAGACGGGAAACTAAATGGTTATTGTTTGTATTAGCAGAAAATATTTAAGAGTCATTCATTTAATATCTGCTGCTTTGCACTAAATAGCAAAGTTCCTTTTTTCGCTATAATTGTTCCATTGGAGAAATTGTATACATTTTGTTTTTAACTACTGGTAGGTATTATCGCGATAAAAATTAGGAATCGAAAGAAATATTACGTCAAGTGCGAGATTGAAAATTCTAAGCCACAAGCACGGACAATTTGTTCAGAGCAGCAAGGTCTTACCACTGCCTAAAAGGACGATAAAAGACAAGAATACATACAAGGAGAAGTAAACATATGGATCCATGGATGTTGGATGTTTGGAATAAAATTAACCTTTGTTTAGTACTAAATGATTTAATGATTAACGATTTTGATTTCTCTCTTTGCAACGAATATTATTAAATTATCTTTTAGCTGTGAAAGAATAAACATTATCAGTTGAAAAAAAGAGAGTTTTTTGATTTATTTAATTATTAAAAAAAGGTTTTCACTTATTGAGAGTAGGCATGGGTAAAAGATAAAATAAATTTGTATTCCTTCGTTGGAAAAAAATTTTTTTAACTGTACATTTAAGCACATTAAAAAAACGGCGGAATCACGTTATTTTCACTGTTGTATTTTCTCCGCTGTAGCCTTTTTTATGACGCAATCGAAGCCAATTTTTTGAGATATAAAAAACTGATGTACATAAAAAAGGGTAGACAGAGTTGATTGCACGTTGAATGATTCAAGTAGAAAAACAAAATTTTTTTTATCTTATGTAAAATGCAATATGGTTACGTATGACTTTAAACTTGCGGCATTACTTGCACTTTTAGTTATTTTGGCTTGACATCTTAATTTATTCACTACCAGTGAAACTTGATACTTCAAAATAATTTAGGTGGTAAGTTAGAAAACTTAAACTGTTTTTAGTTTAATCCGAAGAAAATTCATGTTATCGCATATATTAAGTATTTATGATAATC